TCTATGTTTGTAATTAATTTCTTTGTCATGTGTCGAGAGAAAATTCTAGCCCTAATAAAATCTGGCGATTCATTTTTTTTAATGATTTGATAATATTTTGAAAATCGGATGATATTTTTGAATGAAATTTTTGTATCAAAGTTTAATTTACCTTTTTGTTCAATTTTTGTTATATGATGATTTAATTATTAATATCAAGCATTTTGTTGCTGTCAAAAAGATCAATTATTTGTTATTTAATCTTCATTTTATGTATTTTCTTCATTGATTTTATTCTAGAGAATCAAATTGAAACTAAAAGAATATAATAATTCAAATCATAGGACATAAAGAATTATTTAGATTTGTGTGTTTCAGAATGCACCAATTACCAATATAACATTATAGGATGATTGTTAAACCTTTTTATAAGATTTAAAATTTTAACCTAAAATAATTTTTCAATATTAGTGTTTCCTGACATATTATACAATTTTCTAAATATGATTTTTAGGTTATCATTTCATTTAAAAGATTAAATTTAAACTTAAATTATGAGAGGAAACACACTTTTATTTACTTTTTAATCTTATCTTCAACAATTACTAGTCTTAGTTATTAATTAATAACACTACATGTAATTATATACTATTTTTTAGGTATTCTGATTATGTAAAATTTTGTGAATTCAATATATATATATATATATTGAATTATTTGATGAAATATATATATAGTGAATTATTTGATGAAAATCTTGAAACCATCGATATATATCTACAGTGTGAATCTTTAATTTTTATATTGTCAGTTCATAGAATTGTATATATAGTGAATTACTTGATGAAAATCTTGAATCCATCGATATATATCTACAGTGTGAATCTTTAATTTTTATGTTGTCAGTTCATAGAATTGTATTCTATTTGTTATACATACTTGATTTTTGTTATGCTTTACTTGAGCCGAGAGTCTATCAAAAACAATATCCCTATCTCCACGAAATAGGTGTATTAGATTGTGTACACCTTATCAATCCTCCTCAGACCTCACTTGTAGGCTTAAAATGAAAATGTTATTATTATTGTTATTGTTGCCATTGTTCATAGAATTGTTCTTTATTTTGCTTTACATACTTGGTTTTGTCATCCTTCATTGATCCGAGGATCTTTCATAAACAATCTCCTTACCTCTACAAGGTAGGATCAAAACTACGTACACACCATCTTTCTTAAACCCCACTTATAGAATTACGTACACCAGATATGTTATTGTTGACGTTGTTCATAAAATTATTATCTAAATATGTGATTCTTGAAAATGAACCAGAAATGGCAGGAGAAGTGATTAAACATGACACGGAGCAATGGTTTTTCTTCATTCCAATTCAAGATAGGGAAGCAAGAGGAGGAAGACCTACTAGACTTACAACACAAGGATATTGGAAAGCTACAGGTACTCCTGGTTTTGTATATTCATCAAACAATAATAGAATCATTGGATGCAAAAGAACAATGGTTTTCTATAAAGGAAGAGCTCCAAATGGGAAGAAAACACAATGGAAAATGAATGAGTATAAAGCTACTACTCATGGACAACCTTCACTAATTACCAATAATCATATCACAAATTTAAAGGTTAGTTTTACAAACCCTAAAAATGTTTAGGGTTTTTTAACTAGTTGTACTAGTATTATTTCTAGGTTTTTATCATGACTTTTTACAACTTTCATATACCAATAGGATTGTGATGGGATGGGTAACATCTATTCATCCTTTTCGTATCTGAGCTCTGGGTAAAAAAATAATTTATCGTATGAGTAAGTTTTTCCCCTTACATAACGTGAATTTAAAATTAATCAAAGCATTAATGTGAATACCAAAAATCAGGTGAAAAAAAGACTTAATGCATCAGTCATGTAAAAGAATTTTTATATCATCGAAAAGATATATAACTATAATAATTGTTCATGATAAGCAAAACTAGTTGTGTTGTTGAGACATAATTAATAATGAAAAGCTTTTAAATGAAATGATAGAGGCAGATCTAGAGGTCCCTATATGTTATTGCTCACAATGAACTCAATTATTATTATTATTATTATTATTATTATATTTTTGATATTAAAAGATTTAAATAGTGAATCTACCTCTAAATAGTTATATGTTTTAACAGGACATTACGTAAAAAAGTACTATAATTTTAAATAATATATGTTACTCTTTTCAATTTGTCCTAATTTTATGTGGCATCGGTATAACTTCAAAACCACTCATAATATTTTTTATGTGTTCTTTAAAAAAATTTAATTATTGTAATTTATGATATTTAAAAGTTGTTTTCAAATATATAACAAACTAAACAGAAAAAATAAACAAAAAGATTAAAACATAGAAAATAATAAATTTTCAAAGATACCTTCAAATAAAACCAGCTATCTGCTTGTAGCCACTTCTATATAACATTAATATTATTTTTTATTTTTTTAAAATAAACTTCTACATTTGTTATACAAAGAAATTTTTCAGAAAATTTGGTTTGTTGATTCTGACAATAAGGCATAATAAAAAAAATGTTATACAGAATCATATGATGATATTTGTTAGGAAAGGAAATTTTCAAAAACTATAATCTAAAATATACATATTTATATAGTAAATCACATAGTTAAGAATAAAATAGAGAGTCCAATTTTTTTTATTTTTTTTTATGATATTTCATTAGTAAAATAATAAGAAATAGTGATGTTAGATACATTTTAACTTATAGCTACATAATAAAATTTGTTATTACTTCCATACATCCATGGATTACTAAAAAGAATTTAGTTATAAGAAATTTAGTAATGAATTAGCAACGAAGTTTACGATTTAAATTTTTCATAATGATTCAGATCAAAAAAATATTTATTTTCGATACACCTTTTTTCATGTACATGAGGCCTAATTTTTTTTTTCCATGGCAAAATACGTGAATTGGTTATTATTTTTTATAAAAGTAGTGGCGGTGATGTAATATGAGAATTTTTATTTTTATTTACTTTGATATCAAATTAAAGAGTGTAACAAGTACATGAATACATGGGACCCTAGGAAAATTATTCATAGTTTGAATATATTATCAACTTGTATTGAGAAAAAAAGAAAAAAAGAATTAGCATTGGATTATTTGTTTGTTTTCAAGTAGATATCATATAGTGTTTGGCATATGCTTCTTCATGATTATCTTCTTTTGCTTTTTCCACTATTTATTGAGAATATATGATAAAGACAATACATTTATATTATATTAATTAATAAAATTCTTTTTGTTCACCACACATTGGAATATATACACACATGTTTTTTAAAGTTAATATTTTAAAATTTTATGATTATTGTTTGATTGTCAATTACCCCCAAATTATATTTTTTTTGAAGTATTGATTTACTTTAGAAATGTCCAAAGGGATGGTTTGGTTCATGGGATACAATGATATATTTTATAATTAAGTTTAAAATTAAATTTATATTTTATTTGATTGAAAATATACATTTCTCTTATATTCCAACCAAATAAAATATAATATTTTAATTCTGCATATCTTATCTTATTCTATTCAGATTGATATTTATTTTATTCTTTCTAACTTACATTTCAAATAAAATAAATTATTTAAAAATTGTAATTTCGAAATAACTTAATTCACCACTCAAAAAATACCTTCTTTTGTTGCGTAACGGTTTTACAGAATTTTTGAAAAAAACATCATGATTAGATAACATTGTTTTTTTCTTGGGAGAGACACCATTGTGCTCCATTATTAATAAAAACTTTTAGATATATAACGTACGAAGTAACAAATTCTTTTCACTTTTTATGTTTAAATAAACGTATATATAATGACAGTGTAAAGTTTTATATATGATCAGGATAGTTTTATAATAATAGTATTTTTATCAAGTTACTAGTAATATATGTAAAATTATTTTATAAAAGTGACCTAATTTATCATGTATATATTTGTTGCATATGCAAATCATATAATCTAAACTTTTTAAAGTTTTGAATTTAAGTTATACACATAATATACATTAGAAAAAATCAATATTAGTGAATAATACTATCATGTGAATCACCTTTTTCAAGAAGTTTATTTGTAATTATCTATTAAATGATATAATGGTATAAATATTTTTTTACATCGATATCGATAACTTTATGAGTCGATTTGTTTAGTATATTCTAAGATTAAATTGAAATAAAGTTATATTGCGTTTGATTTATATTATCGATGCATATATATGTACATAACTAATTCTTTTTTTCTCCTTTTTTTTTTAATTTTATGCAGTTACAACATGAATTCAGCTTGTGTAGAGTTTACAAGAAATCAAAATGTGTTAGGGCATTTGATAGAAGGCCAGCTGGTTCTGGATTATTATTACCTCCTCATCAACCACTAATTAATAATAATAATAATAATAATAATAATATTGGAACAAGTTCATCATCAACAGGAATAATACAGCCAATGGAAAATTACAATGATTTATCTGAAACCCCATTATGGGATTTTGAGGACTGGAATTTTATTTAAAAAATTAATGTTATTTAGATAGGATTAATTATGATATTATATGTATAATGACTTGATGAATTATCTATTAGGGTTAAATAACTCTAAATATATCCATCAATTCTTAGATCTCAAAAGTTTAGAAATTAAATTGTACTCTTTTCTAATAATTTAGAGAGCTAGGTTTCAATAAATCTATTCATAAATTGTTGGATATATATACTTTAATTTATTGGAAATAATAATAATTGGAGTATGTACTCTAATCTTATATATATTCTCTTTTTTACACTTTTGAATGTGTTAAATAAATTAGTCATTTTTTTATGGATCTTAAGGTAACATAGTTTGAAATATTTTTATATTATTAGAGAGAATCGTCTAAAGAGAAGAATGGTTGTGAAAATAGAGTATATGTTTTTCATGGTTATATCTCCCTCTTTCCATCGTTATTGTTATGTGTTCGTAAAAATATAATTATATTTTGAAACTAATATAGGCACGATCTATTTTAGTGTGATCTCTTTGAGTAGATTTAATCACCAACAACAAAATTTTCACTGTTTCAATAGTAATCCTCTCGACTTATCTCTTCAATATACAATAACATAACAACGTCGTATGCCTATTTGAACAAACATTAAATATGTTTTCAAATAAAAATTCCACAAAAAAAAAACATTTTCCTTTTGACAAATTTTTTTATTTTTCAAAACATTAGCTCACTTTCTCAAAATTCACTCTACAATTATTTATATAAAATTGACTACTATTTATAATTGTTGAAAAATTTTCAGTATCTTTGAATAAATTGGAAGAGCATGGGTCCAACGATATATCAAAGGTTTTTTATTACTTTATTTTTATTATTATTTTCTTTTTGTCTTTTCATAATTTATAGGACCCCAATCAAAGTTTTCTTGACTGAATAATATTCCAAATATAATTTACACAATTATTTAATTAGTCATGTATTTGTTATTGTTTAGACTTTTTAAAACTTCTAACAAAATTATATTATAATTATTCACATCAAATGTGTTCGCTCCATAATTAATTTCAATCTATTAACTATCTATTATTAGGGTTGTGTATCGATTAGTTCGGTTCGGTTTTGAAGTTTATTGGTTGTTTTATTGGTTATCGGTTTGTAGAGGTGCTAAACGTTATAGAACCATTAAGATATTGACTTATAGATTATTGGTTTACCGGTTTTTCATCGTTATCAGTTCGGTTATCGATTTAACCATTAAGATTTGACACAAAAGAAAAAACATTGAAAATCACTTAGAATCGATAACCCGATAACAAAAAAAATCAAAACTGTTATCAAAACCACTAAACCAATAACTCAATACTATAAAACAATAACTTTTTTATCGGTTCAACTTATCGATTTCGATTCGATTTTGAACAGCCGTAATCACTATACATATATCAAAAAGTAATCGATATCATTAAGTTTTTTATTAGGTGTGTTCGCTCCATAATAAATTTAAATTTATTAACTATCTATCACTATACATATAGCAAAAAATAATCGATGTCATTAAGTTTTTTATTAAGTATGTTCGCTCCATAGTAAATTTAAACTTGTTAACTATCCATCACTATACAGATATCAAAAAGTAACCGATGTTATTAAGTTTATCATTAAAATATGTCAAAATATAAAAAAGTAAACGCACAATTATATTCTAAGCAGAATTATCTATGTCTGTGAATACACAAACATGTTTTTATTTTTTTCAATGCAAGACTTTTTTTTTCTTTGTGCATTCTTTTTGGGGGAGAACAGACAAAACTAATATATATTGACTATGAATTTTTTTTTCTACGTAAACCAAAGGTCAAGAATAGAAATACTGAAAACCTTAGAAACTCTTACTGATAATATCTTTCGATAATTTGTCGCTAAATAAGATAATTAACTATAAAATTATTTAGCTATAAAATTTATCTGATGTTAAGTAATTTATTTGTGTTATCGCGTTGTAATGAATTCTTCTATAATTTTTTATTTAGTTAATAAAGCTTTTGTTTTAATTATATTTTTTCAGTCAAAAATTTACCCGAAATAATAATTTTAACTCATGAAAGATTCGTATACATTCTATTCTTTTATTCTTTTCGGATCTCGTTTATGATATTATACATTTATATTGTATTCATTCTATCATTTTAGTTAATAGAACCTTTATAATTTTTAGTGATAGTTTTATTGAGGATTCGTATGGCTAAATTTGATTATTTTTTTTTTATTGCGGTGTTTTTATTTACTTATTTTTTAGTGTTTACTAAGTTAGCAAACACTAGAAATTTAGAATGTTATTTATAAAACGTATGTTTACTACTTTCACCAGTGAAGTCATTTTTTTTTTAAAGAAATTTACTTCTTTTCAAAATATTTTAACCAACCAAACATAAAATAAAAAATAAAAAATATTTTAGAGAAAACATTTTCTTCCATACCAAATACACCATAGATTATTATTTCATTTCTTTTGCTAATTTTTACTCTCTCCATAATTCTATTATGAGGCTTAAAGTATACTTAGAGCCCGTTTGGATTGACTTAAAAGTCAATCAAATCAACTTTGAAGTCAGTTTTTAACTTTTCGGAGTGTTTGACAAATATAAAATTGACTTAAAATAAGTTACGAAGTGTTTGAGAAAATAAAATTAAAAAAAAAAACTTAAAATAAATAAGAAACCAAAAAAAAAATCTCCCCTTATTTTTTATTTCTGACTTAAAAACTATTTTTTAAGTCAATCTAAACGGGCTCTTGTGCTTTTGTCAAGTATATACAACACATAAAGGAATTTTTGGTAATCTTGGAACAGTTTATGATTCAACCTAAAAATCATATTAATATGCATCAATAACCATTTTTTTTTAAATTCAACTAAAATAGGTTTTTGAAATGCACCAATTATGATTCAAATAAGTACAACTTTAAGAGCAACATGAATTGTGGTGCAATGAAAAAACTGTTTCACTCTTAACTAGAGGTCTCCTATTCGAGCCTCGAATATGAAGAAAATCTTGTCGAGCGCCACCTCAACGAACCGGCGTGATCCAAATTTGATCAAGGCTGGCACTGAATGTGCGAGCCAAATTTAATCGAGGCTCGAATGCAGGCTCTAGAAACACCGGATGGAAACCAAAAAAAAGGCACAAGTTCAAGAAGAAACATCCACAGAATTGAGTATTTATGATGTATTAGCAACTATCTATGCAAATAGTAACTAAAAATATGATCTTTGTTCCATCAGCAAAAGGTTTCAAACTTAGAGAAAATAACTCTCACATCAAGAAATTATAAATGTGACATTTGACAAACTTATACACATTGGTGAATAAAATTTCTAGTTCCATTTCCTAGCATTGGTTCCTTTTCAGCTCCCTTTTGTTTGCATTTTCTCTTGTTTGTTAGAACCACACGACGTAATTACAGTCGAGGAACCATACCTCGATTTTTATATCACCACTCGTCATCAAGACTGGCGCGATGATAACACATGACTGTGCAGACAAATATGAAGAATGACACGAATTCGATGAACATTGCTCCCGTCTGGATAAGATCTGCATGTCTGAGAATAATGGGAATGGCAATGCTTCCCACAGCTGATGCCCCTGTTAAGAATTTAGCAGCATCCATCCAGCTGCAATGATGAAAAAACGAAAAGGCCTAAAATGAGAACAATTTGGTGAAAAGTACACAGCGAAAGACGAGAAAGTAACAAGAAAGGAGGAGGTCTTCGTAAAGTAAAACATCAAATCATAGATACTCGCGACATATATCTTGTTTGACCAAACTTTCAAAATCGACATTTTGTAAAGTGTTCTTTGTCAGAAGTGTATTTCAAAAAAGTACTTCAGAGAGAAGTGGTACAGTCTGGCTTACGTGCTCTAGCAACAACTCCTGCTACTACTCAAAAACACTCAGTGTTTCCTAAAATCTTGGTCAAATGCCAAATCTCTTAAATTAGTACGTTTAGCTTCATCTATTGGCAGGTGACAGTTTTTTTTGTTGCTAAAATGGCTTCATCGAGTGAAATTGAAACCTTTTATACCTCTCAACGACATCTTCCTAAACAGGCTAAAGGCTTTGTTCAACTAGACAAATGAAAATTCCCTTTCGGTTACTTAAAGTTGCCCTCATCTTTGAACGAATGGGCACTGAATAGGACTTTACTTCACATGATTCACATTCATAAAACAAGCCTAGTTGTACTAAGTACTGGTTTTCATCATAGAACAAGCAACAGATGATTCACATTCATGTTAGTGAGCGCAGCGAGGTAATCTTTTATCGGACCACATCTTCACATGTGCTCATTATCCGTATACCGTACCACTAACCAGTTTACCCAATATGCAATGTTTACCATATGAAAACTGATTTTATTAATCACTAACACTAACATGACGATTTTGGCAGATGGACAATCTCTAAACAATGATGTGACTGGCAAATTAGCAATCACCAAATCCTATATATTATATAAGCAGCCTTCTGCAGTAATACTAGTCATGCACCCCAAGTAACTCAATATCGCACATCTGTACTACAATATTCATTTAAATTAGTATTATTTCACAAATATTCTTCAAGAAAAAAGGCGAATCATTTTATGAATGAAGCATGTACGAGAATCAAATACGATATCATATAAATCTCACAGAGTTTAAAGTGTACATGATCTAGAACATGACTTAATAGACGGATGGAAAATAATACAACAAACCATGACTGATGAAAAGGATTACAATGGGGTTGGGCTAATGAAATATAGTACCCCCCCCCTCCCTTTTACATTTAACTCCCCCTCCTCACCCCTTTATTCGACATCAGAAAAGACAGTTTATCCTCAGTTTTCATTAGTAAAGAAAGCACGTCTTACACCAGTATGCAAGAAAATGCATGAGAGAAGGAGATTCAAACTTCTGCATATCGTAAAAGTGTCTTACCCCCCGCCATCTCGACTTATTAGGAACTGTGTGGATCCACCACCAAAGAATAAGCATGGCATGGGAACCACAACGTACATAAGAGCTGTCAAAACCAAGAAATCCTCTTAGTTAGCCAACAAATAGAGCTTACTCTGCTTAAGAAGACGAAATAAGCAAACTACTTAGATTTTATTTCTTTCACAAACCTGATAACATTGGCCACCAATTGCTGTATAAAGCACAAGCCTACAAGAAACAATATTGAAGCAAAAGCATTACAATTAACTCTTTGGAGAAGATCAAAGAGGCACTGTTTCCTTTATCAAACAGAAAGATCATCTTGTATATGAGGTTAATGAGAAAGTAGTGATTGTTTAACTTATGACTACATAAGCAATACACTACATTCATTGGTACTTGCACAAACTTTGGAAATACAGGAGTTCAGACTCATAATGCAGGAAAAGGTTTATAAGACCTACCAGGATCTGTAACAAAATGCTGGACGAGAACATGAAGGCAAGCCCCGCAAGCCTGTAAAGACATTATATCAGAACACAGTTTACCAGAAATGCAGACCAAAGGCACATATTAGTTGAATCACTTACACTTTATCCAAGAAGTGAAAACCAGCAATTGAACCATAAAGATGATGCAGAAACCGGAAAATATCAAGTTAGTAATTGTATGAACATAATGAGATTCGTCAATGTGAAAGTTAATGAGCTATACGGAATTAGAAATATGATCAAATTAACTGTTTTCACGATAATATCATTTGTAAAAAGAAAACTCAAAAAGAAACATCAAGTAAATGAAGTAATGTCACTCTCTATTCACCGCAGTATAGCCAGATAGATCCAGTCTTACCTAGTACTTAGTAGCTTTATGAACAGTAAATTGAGTAGACTAATCAGTTCAAAAATTTATCGGAGTTTTATTGATTAACAAGTTGGATTGCGATTAATTACAAATTGAGTATCACAGTTTCATTAGAAGTCAGAGTAAGAGGTAGTCATGGTCCACAATCCACTGCCACATCCGCAATCGGATGGCCAAATTGAAAATGCCAGTCCAGTCTACATCCGCTTAAATGGTGTTCGGATCTATGCAAACTTTCTGCAGTTCAATTCTTCTTGATGATACGATGCGACTTGCTCAAATTCTAGTGCAAACTGATTTTTTATATGAACTCAAGAATCAAGCTTTGATTTTCATTATTATTTTTTAACGCAAGAATCAACCTTGGGTGAAAAGGAAAATGATAAGACCTATTATAAGCTCCACTTTAATCCAGAATTAAAGATTTGTTAAGAACTCTATTGCCAGCAAAAAGCAAAGATTAAATATGAAAAATGTAAATTTGTTTGAACCATAAGCCTAAATGTTAATCAGAAGTATTTCTGCTGTAGTAAAATTATTACAGAACTCAAAAAACTAAAACTGGGTAATGGATGAATCAAGAATTCTATTGCCAGCAAAAAGCCAAATCAAAATATACAAACTTTTTTGAACCATAAGCATAAACTAGCGTTTTGACCATAAAATTCGACCAGACTTTCAAAATCTGACCTTCAAATATTTTCAAGTTTACAAAACCAAGCTCAAACCCGTTTTTTGGTACCTCTACTAACAAAAATTCAATCTTTTTCCAAGTAAAATGCACGTCCAAATACAACTTCAAATCCCAAAATCACATCTTTAAACGCATAAATTTCAAGTTTCAACTTCAAAATCTATGGCCAAACAGGAGCTTACTGTTTAATCAGAATTATTTCAGCTATAGTAAAATTGGGTCATTTCTATTCATCCAACAAAGAACCCCACCAACCATAATCTAAAAATCAACTACCTTAAACCTTAAACCTCAAACATATGATACAATAACTAGAAAAAAACAAGCAGTAAATAATATAACTAAAAAAAACAAAAATTTAACAAAAAAATTAAAAGGGGTTTATTGCTAATTCAAAACTGAAACTTGAATAGAAAAAAGATTGTACCTTCAATGGTCATCGCCATTTATGGTTAATTTTGAAGGGGCAAAATAGGAAGAAAAAACTGTTTTTGATCTGTTGATCCAAAGTCTGATTCTTGAAACTGAAACAATTGAAATAAAGCACCCAAAATTTGGGCTTTTTGTAAATTTAGATATATTTTCTATAAGGACCCTGTAAATAGTATTAATGTAAGAGATTCCCCATATTTTGTTATTTTGTTGTTTTGTGCTTTAATGTTTGAAAAAAAAAACTTTTAAGGCCCCAAATGTAGTTTTTCTTTTGCCAAGTCTCACCTCCTAGGAAAATAGAATGATGTATATTGCTCGAGAATAGAGTTGTCAATATGGGCTAGCCTGCCTTATTCGAGTTAACTCATGCATATTTTGATATTTTGTGGGTCAGGTCAGGTTAGTCCATTTTGGTGTTGGCTAGAAAATGATCAGTCCAATCCATAAGTACGTGGGCTACAGGCTTGCCGGAGTAGCCTACTTGTTTAAAAAGTATATTTTTTTTAATAATTATTAAGTTAAATTATAAATTATAATTTAAAAATATTACTGTAAATATCAAGAAAACAATATTACATGATGTTAATGCTACTACTTGTTAATCAAATCCACAAATAAAATTATTCTTATAATATTTATTAAGATTTTTTTTCCAAGTAAACATATAAATATCTAAATACAAATATTAACCTAATTGTTTTGAGTTTGGACTATCTTTAATTTTAAATTTTGATATTATATTATATATTTTTGGGAATTTTCACATATACCCACTTAAAAATAAGTCTAATTACTCTTCATAGCTATAGTTTGGTAATTATAATTAGTAGCTACATGTTATAGGGAGGAGAGAGGCGCACGAGACTTGGCAAGAGAGGAGAGAGGAGAGAGAGGGGCAAAAAGTGGAGAGAGGTAAATTGCATATGTATATTGGTTATATAATTGTATAATATACATATGCATTTATATATATGACAAGCGATATTGAGAGAGAGAGGGGAGAAAAGCGAGTGAGATTGGGAGAGGGAGGAGAGAGACGAGCGATATTGGGAGAGGTGAGTGAGAGAGAGGTGAATTGTATATCTATATTGGTTAGATAATTATATATTATGCATATGCATTTGTATAAAAAGCAAGTGAGATTGTGAGAGAGAAGAGAGAGGCGACCAAGATTAAGAGAGGGAGGAGAGAGGCGAGCGAGAGAGGGAGAAGAGGTGAATTGTATATATATATATTGATTAAATAATTGTATATTATACATATGTATTTGTATATTTTGGTGAATTATACATATACAAATGTAGCTAATTATAAAAACTCGAAGTCAATGCATAATATTTATCGTGAGTGGTAATTATAGCAAACTATAGCTATGATGAGTAAGTGTAAGTTTGCTTAACCGCGTAATTTTCCCTATTTTTAATTAATTTTTATTGGTCTACGGGGCAGTTTTACCGATATTTCTCAAGTCCCAAAAATCAACAAACTTATTCAGGTCGGGCTAAAAAACACTTTTCTTAAACGGATTTCAAAAATCTTAACACAATCCTATTTAATCTCAAATTAGGCCAGACCAATCTAACGGGTCTAGACCATATTAACGATTGTACTCAAGAAAAATGATAAAATGGTATTCTTATATATGGATAGATTTATTTAAATCAGTACCTTAAATATATTTTGATCAATTTTATTTTCAAAGTTACAAACAACAAGCACTTTTAGACTTTATCATTTTTTCAACAAGCTCTATTGTGAAGAAGATTAAATATTTAAAAAAATACACACACAAAAAGTCTTAGTAAATTCATAAACTGAAATGTCAAAAGTTAAATCAAACAATGAAATTAATTTGATTGTGAGAGATACATGTATCTTTGGAATATCTCCAAAGTAACTTTATCGATATTTAATTCAATGGACATCATGATTCATGAATACCTAATTGTGCTCAACAATAACATACCCAGTGAAATTTCACATGTAAAATTTGTAGAGAGTAGAGAATGTACACAAGCCTTGCACTATCTCGTGAAGATAGAAAAATTATTTTCGAAAGATCATCTGTTCAAGGTGCAACAAATCAAACTGTATGAAAAAATGATAGTGAAGATAACACAACAAGTAATAAGGAAAGTGAAATATTACGAGTGGGGTTCGACAGGGGCGGAGCTACACTTGCTTCAAGTTGTCCAATTGGACACCCTTTGTCGGAAAATTTCGTTATATACATAGGCCAAATCTTACTTTATATTGTTATATTAAGTATTTTGGACACCCTCAAAATTACTATTGAGCTGTAACTCAGTGGTAAAAGTGTGCTCAATATGATCACAACACCCAAGTTCAAATCTCAGTGTTAACATTTTGTATATTTTATTTAATGGGGTCTGCTTTAAAATGGTTATTTATTTAAAAAATGGAATAATTTTTCAGGAATAGAGCACTAGCATTAACATTTTGTATATTTTATTTAATGGGGTCTGCATTAAAACGGTTATTTAATTAAAAGACGGAATAATTTTTCAGGAATAGAGCACTAGCTTAGTGGCAATAGTGTGCAAAAATGTTTGGCGCTAAGGTTCAAATCCTCATGGTTATATTTTTTTCTCTCTATTTTAGCTTTACTTTGGATAAAAGCCACTAACTTAGAATTATGCTGAGATTGAATCGAACAAACAACATAGTAAAAATCAGAATTAGTCAAATTTAAAATACAATTCACATCAACAAAAGAACTAAGATATAAATGAATAAATAAAGCAAGAATATAATAAAACAAGAAAAGAAATAAATTGAACAAATACCAACATTCATAAATATCATTTGACTATTTTTTTTATTTGTTTAACATACTTCTCATAAAAATTCTACAAATAATTAATGAGCAAATTTTATTAAATTATACCAGACAAATATTTCTTCTAACCACTCCAATTAATTTTTTCCTTTTTAATATCTCATCCACCAATTGCCTTTTATCTAAAACTTAGCCAACAAGTTCATTAAAAAAAAAAATTAGTTCAAAAACTCAAAAATTAGAAAAAGGCTCAAATATCACAAAGTATAGTGTCAAAAACAGAGTTAAACAAACTATATGGGGGTTTAAACAAGTTTAAACAAATTATAAGGGTAGTATATGACAAAAAAACTCACACGGCGCAAAAACGGTGGCAATATCGTAAATATGTGAATAGATAAGGGTAATTGATAAAGAGTCCTTCTGTATATGTTTGCCATTGTAGTTAACGGACGAACACCAGGGGCTCCGGTGCTTTGGCAGACATCAAACTTCAGTGTCGGAAAGAGACCCTGCTACTTGTCCCCTACCCCACCCCCACCCACCCCACCCCACTTACCCTACCACCCAACAAACAGAAATCAAAGAAGCTGTGTGGGAGTTATGGTGGAAGCATAACAGCAGTGAAATTGATTGAATAGGTGAGGGTTTCGAACTGTTTGCCCTAATTTTTCTTGAGTTTTATTTGGGTTAATCATGATCAGTTTATGTTTTTGTGTAATGGGTCATGTTTAGTTTCAGTATTAGAGTTGATTTTTGTGAAAAAAAAACTGTCTTTTTAGTTTTTAGGGGTTTATCTGATATGGGGTTTTGGTGAAAGCTGAGTCTTTTTTGGGTAAATTTTGTTTGTTGGATAGTAATGTACTATTTCATTTATTGTTGAAGTTAGGGTAAACTAGTTAGGATCGTTGTACTAGAAATAACAACATTTGCAATGGTGGAATCTTTGTTATTCATTTGAGTGTTGAATTAATGATCTTTTTTACTTGTTTAGTTTCAATTTGCTTGTCTTGCTTCCATTTTTAGTATGTTCGAAAAAGAATGTTGATTACCCTTTTTGGTAATTCTTTATTCAACTTCCTAACTTTCCGCATGACATGTTAAGCCCATGAGATTGAAGGACATCTTCTTTAGTTTCTTAAACTTCATGCCAAGTCAAATTCAGACAATTAAATTGAAAAAGAGAGAGTAGTTAACAGTTCAAGCTTTGTTCATCTGTTTGTAATTGATATATGTTTGTTTAGAATATTACGAGAGTGTACTTACTTGATACTTAATTCAATAGTCACCATGAACACCTAATTGTGCTTAAATTGTTGTAACTTTTATTTTTGGTGATGTGTCTTGAAGGATTAAATGTGAACTAGATGTTAAACTTTAATTGTGGATGTTACAGCTTATCACAACCTTTTCTTGTTACTTTTTTCCTGGTTGATTGTTAAAAGAAGCTACTTTTTCTTTTTGACAGGTTCAAGTGGTTCTGCAGGTCTAGGTAGATGGCGTGGACGGAAAAAGATGTCGAGAATGGAAAGGAAAGTGAGTCACTTGGTAACAATGGTTTTCTGAAGGGAGGACAATCTTCTTCTGGTTCCAAAGGTTCTCCTGGTAGAATAAGTCATGTAAAGAAGATTTTTGAAGACAAGGATGCCATCACTTATGCAAATATTCTTCGCTCTAGGAACAAGTTTGTTGATGCACTTGCAATCTATGAGAGTGTGTTGGAGAAGGATAGCAAGAGTATTGAGTCTCTGATTGGCAAAGGTATTTGCCTGCAGATGCAAAATACGGGGAGGCTTGCTTTTGAAAGTTTTTCTGAAGCTATCAAAGTGGACCCACAAAATGCATGTGCCCTCACCCATTGCGGAATTTTGTACAAAGATGAGGGTCGCCTGGTCGAGGCTGCTGAGGTATGTGCCTGAAGTTATCTTTACTGGTATTTAGCAATAGTTATCCGATCACATTTAGTGGTATCCAATAATAATGATCACATTGGAGATGTTATTGGGGAGAGGTGATAAGACATGACATGACATAGTTGCGTCTTACCTATAACATGACCCTTAGATAGGAAGGTGTGGAGGACATGAATAAGGC